ACAGGCGCACTCTCCTTGTCAAGGTCTGTTTTTTCACCGCTTGACCCAGTAGCCATAACAGTGGGCTTGACATCCGAGAGATAGCACTCTCGGGCCATCCTCTGATCTCCCCTTAGGGAGCCGACTGTTCCATTATCCCTCTCAAACTTGAGCAACATAAGAGATGGGATTATAACAGTCTTGGAATTATTCAGGGTAGGTCGACCCAGAATCATGTTGTAGGCCGAGAGTTCCTCTACTACCAGGAACCGGACTACCATGTGTCGTCCTTTCCCTTTTTCACCCAGGCGGATGGGTAAATCTACTCGTCCCAGTGGGTGGACGACTCCTCCTCCAAACCCTACTAAAGGGTGGGAGGCTGGATGTATGCAATCAGTCTGATATTTCAGTTTCGACAGACATTTGCTACTGATGAGATCTGAGGAGCTTCCGGTATCTATGAGGATTCGGCCAACTCTCTGGTTGGCCACTTTACATTCAATAACGAGAGGGTCGTCATGCGGCCCCCTTACCCCTCCTAGATCTTCTTCAGTGATGACAATCTCAGGAAATGAATACTTGGACGACCGTTCTTGGTGAACGGAATTTACATCTAACCGCCTGATATTGTCTTTGTTGCCCCTAATAGTGGGGCCGCCTCCTGAGAAGCCGCCTGCAATGGTGTAGACGACTGCATCATCTGTATCAGAGCTGTCGGCCTGCTGATGCTTTTGGCCGACTGCTTTTTTGAGGAAGCGTTCCCCGTAGATTTCTTGATATAAGTGTCAAGATCACCTTGCTCAGCCAGGCGGTCTAGGTACCGCATGAGACTGATGCAGTCATTGGTGTGATGACCAACATCATCATGATAAGCACAGAATTTATCTTGGTTCCGGTTGTTTGCAGAACCCTTCATGGGGACCGTCTTCTCAATTGAGATCCGTCCCTTGATTTCTTTTAGGATAAACTGGTTATCCTTGTTAAACGCATACTTTGGGGAGTATGGTTTGAATTCTTTTTTCTTTTTCTGGGCCGGCTGTTTAGAGGAATCAGCCGCCCAAACCTCTTTTCTTTTCTCATCTTTGTTTGACGACTGTTTCTGTCGTCCTTCTCTTTTGTCGAACCTTTTCCCGTCCGACTGTTTTACCGTACAAAGATCAGTTGCCTGTATATAGGCTTCTGCTTCAATCAAGGCCTCTTGAAGAGTCGCCACCCTCTTTCGAACCAAATCAAATTTGAAGGTAGACCCGTCTTTGAGACCTCTGAAAAAGTCAGTATAGGCTACCTCATCCGGTAACCCTTGAATCTGTATTCTCATCAGGTTAAACCGCCTGATGTAGGAACGAAGCCCCTCCTTCTCGCCCTGCTGAATTGTTCCCAAATCAAGGGTCGTTTTCTTCGCAGGGATGTTCATGGCGAAGTTGGAGGCAAATAAGTAAGCAAGCGTCCTGAAGCTATTTACACAACCAGCCGGCAGGTTGCCGAACCATTGCTGTGCGATTCCTTTGAGAGTCGCTGGGAAACACTTGCACCAAGTGGGATCATCCAACCCTTGAAGGTACATCAGGTTGGTGAATGCCATCAGATGGTCTTCTGGGTTAGTAGTGCCGTCATAGGCGCCTACTAGTACATTTTTCACTTTGGCCGGCTGAGCGGCTTCAGTAATTTCCTTGGAGAAGGCCGACGGCTGTTCACCAAGTCTAAGCAACCGTAGCTGCCAGTCCATAGGTTGGACGTTTTTTGCTGCAGGTCAACCAAACGGAGGTGGCTGCAAAAAATACTGTTGTTGCGGCACAAATGGTAAGTTTGGTACCGCCTGGTCGCTATGAAAGCCGGACTGGCGGGAGGTGCCTCCTGACTGACTCTCATGATACGACTGAGTATGCCTCATCGAGGCATTTCGCAAACTGTCTTGAAAGTTTGAAGTAGAGGCCGACTCTGACAATCGGTCACTCTTCTTCTGCTCTAGCAGTAGCCGAGCATCTGTGAATGTTTGCTTCGACCCGTCCGCCTGAATATGACGAACAGGTTTCCTATTTCCTGTAGGATAACAGAATTTTGTGAAATCAAGGGCAGGTGGCTCCCTCTTCCTAGATTTAGGATGAGGAGTCGCCTCTCGCCCTTGAACTGGCTTCCTCTTCAGTGAAGTGGAGGGTTTCTTGGCCGACTGCTCCTTGACTGGAGCAGGCGGCTTCTTGTTGATCAACTCTTGAATCTCTCCCTTGAAGTCCCTCATGAGGGTCATGAGTTCGTTCCTTGTGATGGGAGCAGACCCATCAGTCGGCTGTTGCCGAACAGGCGGTGCGCCTGCTGGCTCACTTCCAGTTTGAAGATGCTCCCGTTCCCTCCTTTCGGTATGACGGGTACGTCGGGCCCTTAGGGTCCCGTCTGAAGCTGTGTGAGCTTCAACTTCAAATTCACTCTCGGTATCATGGTCCGACTGAACTTGAGGGTCGTCTAGGGGACGCCTCTCTTCAGGAGTCGGTACAGACCTGGATGCCATCTCAGAAGTACTCTCCCCACAGACGGCGCCAAATGTTTCGGGGTTTTCTGATGTCCTGCGGGAGAGTTACAATTCCGAGACTGGAACCGGACGCCTGTACCTGCAAAATAACGGAGACTCCTGTGAGCTCCGCCTCCAACGGTCAAGTTAGTACCTGATTAAGGAGTAATTAATGCGGAAATTAAAGTGATTAGGTCTCTCTAGGTGAGAGTGATTAACGTAGGTAATCTGCTTTGTTAGCGAGATCAGCCGGTTATTACTGTGTGTAATTAATGTGTTTTTTCCGTAATGTTTCTGTTCTCTTTTTTTTTGTAATCCCCCTTAATGAGGATTAAGGGAGGTATTTATAACCTTGGGAAATGTGCCCATCCTAGGTTTAGGTAAACCTAGGGCCGATTGGGCTTCCCTCTGAAGTTGGGCCTGGGTGGCCGGTTTCTCCATTAGGCATGGAGTATGCCACATGTCGTGACATAACAGGTCCAAGGTGGACGAATAAGCGCGTGCCACGTGGCAAGCCCTGACAGTTCCAACTGGGGGACACTTGGCAGGACCTGATTGGTCCACGTGGCGCATTCCGATTGGTGGGAGCAAAATCCCCTAATCAATATGTAATCGGAAAATTTGTATTGAGAGATAAGTGAGGAAATATCAGTAAGTCATCATAGGGTATAATATGTAATCGGAAACATGATTGATGAAATTCAAATTTTGAAACTTTAATAAACAAAAAAAGAGGCTTAAATAGAAGGTGGAAGGGCTAAAATTAAAGAGAGAAATAGGAAAAGGTTGAATTAAAGGGGAGAGATGAAGTGTGTATGAAAGATGAAGTATAAATTTAATGAAAGAATTAAAAAAAATGGTGTAATATAAAATTAACAGTGTAAGATGATATGTGGCACTATGGTTAGAGAAATGTAATAGAATGGATGGGGACATGTGTCTTTTCTTAGTTTCTTGGTTATAGTTTTTAAATACTAAAGTATAGATAGATTATATTATGCGACGGAGGGAGTACATAATAACTTTTTTTTAAAAAAAACTCTTTAAAGGATTGTTTGATACTCTATATTCTGAAACATAGTTTGGGAAGGGATCAAAGTAATTAGATATTAGGCATATACTACATCTATTTCGCATTACTCGCAACAAACGAATATTTTATATCTCATAAATAATACCCTTTTGTTGCTAGTAATGCGAAGTGGAGGTAGTATATATTTGTCAAGTTCAAAGATAAAAAAATAAAAAATAAAAAATAAAAAACTTTCTTTATTTACAAGTACTACAATTAGTTTTATTTATTTATTTATTTATTTCAACTAAGGCATACACCAAAGAAAGAAAAATAAAACTAAAAAACAAGAAAGACTTTTGTTACACCTGGTTTACACTAATATTAGTGTACATCGAACACTATAAGGGTAACTTTTAGCTAATTTTAGGGTAACTTATTGTTTTTTTTTTTTTTTTTTTTTGGTGGGTAACTTTAAACATAATACAATTTTTATATAAATAGACAATAAGAAAAATTTTATAAAGGTAATTTAATACATTCAATCACTAAAATGTGATTCTTTATTAATAAAGCGTAGATTATTTTTATGCATATTGGGGGTAACTTTTAATCATTTCAGGAGTAGCTTTTAATTTAAACAATAACATAGAAAAATTGTATGAAGTATGGGTGAAGTTGATATTCCTATAAATGCATAAAAGAGGACTTTTTTGTAGGCAACAACATAGAAAGAATTGTATGAATTCTAATTTTTCACAAAGTGGAAGAATTAACTTACTGCATAGTGGAAATTCTAGAGCTGATCACGGACCAGGTTTTTGGCAAAAAGTGGCCCATTTCGAGCAAAGGCTTCGGGTCAAGCTGAAAAACCGTGCCCAATCATGCCCAGTCCTGCTATTTTGAGTCATAAAGAGCATGCCTTTCAAGTTACATTAAGAGCCTATATTTTCAATTAAAAATGTAATTTTTGGTTGCCCAAAGTCCAATTTATTGGTTCGGCTTGAGGCTAACCCAAAATCTGGGCCCAAAGAATCTGTTTAAATCCGATATTGTTTGGGCCAAAATAACTCTGATCTAGAATTTGTTATATACACTCGGGTGTATCGTACACCTAACTAATCTAAGGTTAGTTTTTGTTATTCGTTTAATGATAAAATGAAAAATAATCATCAAAATGAGAACAAATACTTTATCATGGGTGTACGGTACATTCGGGTGTATATAACAACCTCTCAATTTGATCAGATCTCTTTTTTTTTTTATTTTTTTTGGACGGAACTTTGATCAGGTCTAGGAGATTCCCATGAACGTTTTCTATATTATTATTATTATTATTATTATTATTATAAATTTTGCGAATTCTTTATAATTTATGAATCCTACATACATGTAAGCAAAGGACCACTAGTAAAGGAAAAGCTCATACAACAACCAAGTGTTTCAATGTCAAATGTAATAATATGTACAATATCCACGTATATATACAAAAATTAATAATTTCCCAAAGTATTGATGTCACATGTACATCATAAACACTTTCACTCAATCACTCCTACTACTACTAACTACTTCCAAGTTCCAAACTCTCTACACATAAATATATATATAGTCCTTACCTTATTAACTTTGCTTAACAAAACTAAACTCCACTACTTTTCCCTTAATTTCCTCTACTAGTTAAAAAAAGAAAAGTAGCTTGTTTCCCTCCATTTCAACTTTTCTCCTTTCTTCCCCTGTATTTGTTTTTTTTGACCATGGTCAGCACTACTGACTCTGTCTCTCCTTCTTCTCCTTCCTCTCCTCCTCCGGCCTCACAATCGCAATCGCCGTCGCCGGTTGTGGTTGTTAGCCCTTGCGCTGCCTGCAAGATCCTACGCCGGCGATGCGCTGACAAATGTGTTTTGGCACCTTACTTTCCGCCCACTGAACCACTCAAGTTCACCATTGCTCACCGGGTTTTTGGGGCTAGCAATATTATTAAATTCCTCCAGGTAATCCTCCTTTAAACCATTTACTCAAAACTTTTTATAATTTGCTTAAATTTTGCGTAATTTGTGCATTTAATATTAATCTATAGTCACTTTCTTAAAAAAAAAAAAATATTATTATTTTTGACTAACATAGTTGCAAAGTATACAACACTATGTAATTTTGGGTGACTAAACAAGGCATTGTTGTATACTTATATGTGATTAAACTCGTGCAGTAGTAGTTTGAGGCGTAATTGGTTGATTTTGATTGTTATATACGTTGGTTTTACTAGAAAAGTAGAATTTGTTAGATTATAATCTTGAAACGATACAAGTCTAAGAAAAAAAATGTTTTATTTTCATGTGAATGTATTATTATGTTAGTAGTTGGTTAAAATGTTTGATGAATGAGACAACACAAATAGATTTCTCCCCACTTTATTTGGTGAAATCGTGATGAGATTACGATTGAAATAAAAATCAACATGCACTTTTGAAAATGGAATATAAACATTCCTTTAAACATAAAAAATGGAAAATCAAACAAGTTTTTTTTTTCTTTTTTGATGGGACATAGTAATGAGTTTACATGGAGTACTTTTAAACTTTATATCACATACTAGTAATATATTTTGTTTTTGATGAGTCCATATTGCACCATTGATCTTACCTTTAGTATGTGAAACATCATATATGGACTAAGGAAAAAAAGACAAAGGGATTACAAAAGCATAGATAAACCATTAAGTTGTTATTTATAGAGCTTATTATTTCGGAATAAAGACTTTGTTTGAGCTTCTTTTGAAAATCAGATCATCAAAACTAATTTGATTCAAACTTATATCAACTAATTTTTTTTTGTCTAAACTAATTTTGTTTACAAAAATTATTTTATCTCATAATTGACTTATTTGCGCGTATATTTGAAGAAAACTTTATTTTCTACAATTTATTTGATCAGGTACTTCATTTTATTTGAACTTATAATTTGGTTCCAACTAATTTTATTGAGTTTATATTCTAGATTTAACTTGATTTATCTGCTTATATTTATAATATAAGATGAATTGACTCTAAATTTATCTTAAAAAATTGACATTGTACCCCAACTCCCCAAGTCATTAGTTGGATATGGTATAAGATGGTATAAGAATATAAGATGATATATATTTATGTCACAATCTATTTTACTATTCTGTATTTTAAGACAACAGTCAATATTAAAATAGAAAAATCAAACATGGGTTTTTGTTGACTTTTTTCATTTGATATTTCAGTCTCAAACTCTCAATCTATCTATATTTGCCTATTTGGGTATAACAATTTGGAGGGAATTGAGTTCGTTTGTGTGAATGCAACAAGGAGCAAAGCATTCCTTGTCTAGGACATTGTTCCCAAAAGAATGATAAAGCTAAAGTATTCTAGAACTTAGATAAAGTTTTGGTTGGTTAGTGAAATTACCAAAATACCCATGTCGATATTATGGTAGCTAGTGGATGGCATAATACCTTAAGGTGGTTAAATTGACAAACCACCTACCAAAATTTCATCTTTAAATTTGTTAGTAGTATTAGTTACCCAACGAACAATCTCAATGATATCTCTTGTCTGTTGACTACATCATTTCGCTCTCTCAAACAACCACTTTTAGTGTTCTAGATAGTATCCTAAGTTCTTAGACAAATTAGTTGAAACTCTTGATTATGCTACTTGCTAATTATTATTGATTATTAGGAATATAATATGGCAAGGACAAATGACCAATAGTGTCATTGGTTAAGACAAGCTAAGGGAGTTTTTATAGTATTCCTTTCCCCCAAATTATATATGACATTAAGTTATTATATTCCTTTTCGTTTTTCGTAAGTGTTACACTTTGATCGACATATAATTATAGACAATTTAATTACTTAACTTAAATCAAATAAGAGGTCAGTGGGGTAGTTGGAATATTATATATTATGTGTATCTTGTTGTCTTCCTTCGTTATTTAGAGTTGACACATTTTGAGTTTGCACCTATTTTGAGTTCACAATTTCATATGCATTACATTGACTATGTTTTTCTAATAAAAACATCCTCTGTTTCCCGAATATTGCAACATGAGTAAGAGACACATATTTTAAGAAGATAAGAGAGATAGAAAGGAATAAATATAGGAACACGTCACATATGATGAGGAGAGAAAAAGTACGTAAAAAAACATGTGCAATTAGAGAAATGTTGCAATATTTGTGAAACTTTCTAAAATGGTAATTGTTGCAATATTTGTGGAAAGAAAAAATTAATATGTTAATGGTTGATACAAATAACACAATAACAAAATTACAAAAATGTATGAAAAAAAAGAAGGATATAGTTTATCGGTCGTTCTAAATTATATTGCATATTCAGGTGTACTTGACTTTCATTAATACACCCAACATAATAAATGTTATTTCATCACACTCTTAGAGTGTCTTGTCTATTTAAGTTTACTTGTCCTGATTAAAGCTAATGGTTTTGTATTAAAATGGTAATTGTTGCAATATTTGTTTAATTTTTTTTTTTTTTGTCTTGATATAAGCTAATGGTTTTGTATTAATTTTTGAAAATGAGGTTTTAACCTAAACTTCCTACACATCAAATATTTGATTGATAGTATGTATGACAACCCTTTTACTAGGTAATCTAGTTTGACACTTTGACCATACATAATTGCATTAGTTGTGCTAGCAAAGTTAGAAGTACAAATTAAATACATGTTTAATATTTGACAATGATCTCAACTTTATCCTCGATAAAATTTGTTTTTTAATGAATTTGATTACATCTTTAGGACCTCCCGGAGTCACAAAGGGCAGATGCCGTGAGCAGCATGGTGTACGAGGCGAATGCACGACTAAGAGATCCGGTGTATGGATGTGCCGGAGCAATTTGTCAGCTTCAAAAACAAGTGAATGACCTACAAGCACAATTAGCCAAGGCTCAAGCTGAGATTTTGAACATGAAATGTCAACAAACTAATTTATTGGCCTTATTATGCATGGAAATGGCACATGATCATGATGAATCTCCACCGTCTAACACCTCATCACAGTCAGTGTCACCGGAACACCCTAATCGCGGTGTAAGTAACAACGCTTGCTTCATCGACGACAACAACCTAGGAGGATCACTTTGGGAGCCTCTTTGGACATGATGATTGTAATTGTCAATTAATTAAGTCTCCTAATTCCATGCTAATTATAGCTATGATGAGCAAAGGAGAATTTAAAGAAGATCATTTATATATTATATGATATAATGTGTATAATATTATTATTAGTAGTAGTAAATTAATGAAGCTCTAAGCAAAGTAGCTTTGGATCAAATTTGTATGAAAAAGTTAGGATATAATTATAAAAATATAATGTAATGGCATAATAGCTAAAGTAGAGTAGTAGAAGAGTGTATCAACTCTCATGTAAACTCTTCAACTTTAAAAGACACATAGTTGTCAACGTTGTAGTCTATATTTTCTAATATATTGATCTTTATAATTCAATCTAAAACTACTTTTTTTCTTGCCTTTTTGGTTACCTAATATCACTAACTAAATGGTGATGGGTTATGAGTCGCAATCCATGACTTTCATCTTCCAATTAGTTCTTGACGAATTCAATTTCTTTTTCACATTTATTTGAAAATAAAGTTATAGATTTATATGTCAACCCAATATAAAGAAATTCAAGGTGACAAGATGCTTGTTCAAATGATGGACTTTTGTGTATTGATCTACATTTTTTAAATTGTAATATGGAGTGTATGTTATGATATACTAACCAAGTAAGGCTTGGTATACTAGAAAGATTTGTATTGCTATTATTGGGGAGGTCACGTTGAAGCATGGACGATCCTAACCCAGTTCAGGCCTGGGCTGAACATGGCCCAACTTTGTTTGTGGCCTCAAATAATAAAAGGTATAAATAATTAAATATTATACCTTGCAATATTAATGAGAGTTGGTTCAAGTGGTAAACAACTTGATGCACCTTAACATAAGTCTTAAAACTTTTGTTGTGAGACTCATCCACCAAAAGCCAGGTGTGCAATCTAGATCGGATGAACTACAACATTAAACCTATCATTAACTTGCAAAAACACCATCGTGCCCGGTTAAAATGGTTCAATTCAATGTATTTCCAGTTCAATTATATGTATGTACAACTCAGTGATAAAAACAATAAAATTCGAAATATAGAAAATAATCATAATTAATTTTAATCAATATAATATTGGATAATAATTACTCCTTCCGTTTTTAAATACTTGCTCCACTTTCCTTTATCGACCGTTTTTAAATACTTGTTTCATTACCTTATTTGGAAAAGTTTTACAATATTTAATTAATTTCTCTCATCAAGTGGACCCAACAATATTAATTTTATATTCTTTCTCTTTCAATCATCTATACTACTTTTGATTTTTTGTATAATTTTTTATTATTTCACCAACCCTACTAACTCTATATTTTACTCCGTATTACTTTTTCAATTTCTCCTAAAACTCCGCGTATAAAAATATGAAACAAGTACGGAGTATTTAAAAACGGAGGGAATATCCCAATTATCTGATTCAAAATACTCCGTATTCGGATCAAATTCCGCGAAGAGAATATTTTATTTTTCTTTCTAAATATACGAGATAAGCTAAAATATGGTCCCTAAACTATACCATTAGTTGCACATTTGGTCCCTCATCTTTGAAATGAGGCAAATTAGTCCCTCTGCCACCCTTGGCTCACCGATTCTGGTGGAGGAAAATCTGAGTCAGCAAAGTTGAGGGATGTTTACTGCCAACTAAGCCAAAGTTTAGGGACTTCTCTCGTTGAGTCAGCATTAGTTTAGGGACTGCACTTCTTTTTGCCAAAAGATTAAGGAGCTGCATGCTTACATGAATATTTTTAGTTGAAAAAATTGGTAGTTTGAAGATTAGAGGCTCTGCATTTAATTCTAAAGGATTGTAACAGCAAAAAATAACCAAATTCCAAAATAGTTACAAAAAACTAGCCATTACACACAAAAGTGGCTATATATATATTGATGTTGGTAGCCATTAAAACCATGAGACTATTAAGCAAAAATTCTTCCAAAAGAAAAAAAAATAATTGCTGCAGTGAAGAAGAAATCTCCTGCCAAGGTATCTGCTCTGCAATAAAATTAGTAATTAAGGTATTTAGGAGTTGATCAAAATTAGAAGATTTAAGCAATATTAATATGTTTATTGATGACAGACAATGTCTAGATGTAGCAATAGATCAAGTGGAAGTGGTTAAAGGTGTCATTGTGGGCTAATAGGGTCAAAGACAAGGTCATGGACCAAAGATAACCGAGGAAGAAGGTCACTGAACTTTACCACTTCATTAATTAAATAATGCCAACTCATACCAAGGTCTTAAACTTTGATTAATTTTTTGGGAAATTCTCATTGGTAATCACGAACTTTTTTTTTTTCTCAATGGTAAACCCTAAAACTTTTGATTATCAATGGTAATCATGAATTAATATTACTAAACTAATGGTAACATTAATGATATTTTAATATTATTAAAAGATTAACTAGGGTTAATCTTGGGTTAAGTAACAATAAATTTACATTAATACCCTTCAAATTATTTAAAAAACAACAAAAAAAAACAAAATAAATCTGAACCCCTCCCCAGTTACCAGGCAACCAGCAACCCCCATCCCCGCCGCTCAGCTCGCCCGGCTAACGGTGACTCAACCCCATCCCCCGCCGGAGACCCCACCACCAACACCCTAATCCTAGAACGAGCACCTTCTCCCCTGTTCCCGACCCACACGCTCTCTCCTCTCATCACCACCAAAACTGCTTCTCGAGGACGCCGAAACCAGCCATCCTCCCAGCCGAAATCAGCCACCCTCCCCTCTTCCTCGATTCCCTCTAATCTTCTTCCCCGATTCCCTCTCATTCCCCTTACTTTGGTTAAAATTTCTAGGACTTTTGGCGATTTTGGGGTCAAATTTGTTGATTTTGGGGGTCGATTTTGACGATTTTGTTGATTTTTGAGGTCGAATTTGTTGATTTTGGGGTCGATTTTATTGATTTTTGGGGTTGAATTTGTCGATTTTGGGGTTGAATATGTTGATTTTTGGGGTCGAATTTGTTGATTTTGGGGTCGAATTTGCCGAATATGTTGATTTGGGGTCAAATTAGTGGTCGAATTCATTGATTTTGGGGTCAAATTTGTTAGTTTTAGGTCGAATTTGTTGGGGTTTGCCGTTGAATTCTCTGGGTTTTGCGGTTCGAATGGCAGCGTCCTGAGGTTTGTTGTTGAATTGTTTCACGTGTTTCACTCGGTTGCTATGATCAAGCCATAGGTTATACAACACTAAAGCTACATCACTCCAAGTTCGCTCTGATTCTGACCTTAACAAGTAGTTTAACAATGACGGTGGTGGCTGGGAAGGGAGTTGCAGCGGGGAGGAGGAAAGAGAAAGGAAGAAGAAAGAAGTGGTTATGCATAAGGGTATTAATGTCTTTTTGTAGGTCGATTGCTAAACCATGGTAAAGGAATTTACAAATTGTCTAACTGAAGTTACCATTAGTTTAGTAATATTAATTCATGATTACCATTGATAATCAAAAGTTTTAGGGTTTACCATTGAGAAAAAATAAAAGTTCGTGATTACCAGTGAGAATTTTCCTAATTTTTTTTCTTTTGTAGTCCCTAAACTATGATGACTCATCAGTTTTTCATCGGAAATAATCATGTAAGAGAGGCAGAGGGACTAATTTGCTTCATTAAAAAGATGAGGGACCAAAATACTACAAATACAATAGTTGAGGGACCGTATTTATGCTTAACTCCTAAATATACATACGTATAAATCATATAATCATCCTCGTATTAAATAAGTCAAAACTGTAGAAGATCTCCTGACATTCCAGAGAATTCTTGTGTCTCGATCAAGCAGCAACAATGGCGGCGCTTTCAACACCGACGATGAAATAACAGCCATAACAGAACAAAGACTAGAATTAACCAACGCAAAAACCCTAGAATCCGACTTAGATTTCGCCTTCAATCTCCAATTAGAGGAAGCCTTAACCGCTTCTCTCTCTCTCCTCCCTTCTTCCTCTTCTTCTTCTCCTCCTCTTTCTCTTCCAGAACCTTCTTCTTCCAACAACAATGGCAACGAACTCAATTTCGCAGATATTCAGAGTGAAGAACTCGAAAAACTTGAACAAGAACGCCGAGACCATGAATTCAGCAAAATTGAGGCGAAGAAATTACGAGATCATCTTAATCGTTGTATTCACGACCAAAAACTTGCTCTTGAGATTACTCGTTTGCCTGAAGGTGATTGGGATGAATTTGGTGATGAATTCGAAAGGCCTTTTGATGAAGGTTCCTCGGCTTCTTCAGTCGCCTCTCCGATTTTCAGGTAGTTTTATTTAAAGTTGTGTTTTTAATAAGTTTTCGAGTTTTATTCAGTTCAAATAGGTTTTAATCGATAAATGTTGGTAACTCCGATGAACAAATACATTGAATTTTGATAAGTTTTAGAGTTTTATTCAGTAAAAATAAGTCAATCGATAAATGTTGGTAACTCCGTTAAACAAATACATTGAATTAGTATTAATGAATCAGTATTCGAGTTTTTATTCAATAAAAATAAGTTATAATAGTTAAATATTTGTAACTATGTAGAACAAATACAATGGCGAATGAGTAAATATCAGGTGAAGAGAACAAATCGTTAGGCTAGCTATTTTATTGTTTTAATTGACCAGTTTATGTTTTTTGGATGTTATATTTTGGTTGAATATTTTATTTAGAGTTGTGATTTGTAATGTTATTGTATTAATAAAAGTGCAATGGTGATATAAGGTTGATTTTGTAAGTCTATTGAGTGATTTTTCGTGTTTCTTGGTTTGGTTTGTTTTGCTAGAATGACATATTTTGAAGGTTTTAGTTGTGTTTGAAGTTGGATATCCGGCATTTGAATTTGAATGCTTAAATACATTGTCATTTGATTTGATTTTTCCTAGTTTTATGGATGGTATTGTAGATGTAATTGTGCTTAAGTTAGCAATTTAGTATTGATTGTTTTCGTAATTGGATCTTAGGTGTCACACTTACCTGCAGATAGTATGTTACTATGTTGTGATTTTAATGTCTTATTTTGGTGAATCCTCAGGTTGTATTTTAAGGGTTTAGTGGAGGTAAAACAAGTAGAAAATACCGAGGTTACACTAGCTGGCATTGGAGTCACAATTTGTGATCCAAGGGAAAACTTGATTTTTGAGTTGAGCAAGCCTTTGGTGGGGAATGGAAAGAGTCGTTGAATAACTCAGATCAAGGCTTTAATTGAAGGTCTTGAAACTGCTCGTGCACTGGATTTGAAGCGCATCATTATCTTTTGTGACAACCTTCCTGTTTACCGTTATGTGAGTAGAAACTCCCTTGTCCTTGACTTGATTGATTGTATATGTATTAAAATCGTGTGAAATGTATTTTTTGTGCAATTATATATGGCT